ACTTCAACTCTCAGAATGCTGGCTGGGGAATTCTGGGAGTTGAAGTCCACCCATCTTAAAGTGGCCAAGCTTGGAAAACAGTGTTATGGAATAAACTTGGCTGGATAGGAAGACAGGAAGATGCTGGGGTTTCAGACAGGGGTGTGGGGTGGAAGAGTCACCTGGCATCTCCTACGTTGGGCACCTGCCAGCTCTCCCCAAGTTGGTTGGGATCTGTCCCCGCTGAGGTCCCGTTGGGCATGAGGTTGTCATCTGCGGCTTGTCCATTGAAGTTCCCTGGAAAAGGAGAAGGGGAGGCAGGTGGGAGGAGGGGGCTGCCCCTACTTTGTGTGTATATTGCACACGCTTCACATTGCACGAAGATGTATGTGCAATATAACCATGGACTTGAGGCAAGCCAGGGCAAATACAATCTGTGATCCAGCACTTAGGGCTTTCGTAGCGGCAATAGAAATGGCGGAGAAAGGCAACAGGATGCCCCCGGACTGCCTTTCATCTTTGCCTTAATTAAAGGGCAGCTCAGAGGCTGGCCTGTGGCAAAGCTAAGCCGACTGCCAGCCGCTAGACCCAAGGATCCCTGGGGTGCTTGTGGCTGGCTGTGTTGCCTTGGGCAGCCTTCTGTGAACAGGCTCATCACGTGCTCTCCATTTCCAGATGTGCCCCTGGCCCCAGATCTCTGACGGATCACGGTAAGAACCACGGAAGCGGAGGAGTCCTGAGTCACTGACCCTTCCTGCCTGATTATCTAGGACTTTCTAGGCCCCAAAGGCAGGATGCATCTCTGGACCCATTTCCACTGGAGGCCTGGGGTCTTCCTAGCCCAGGTAGAAAGTGACCAGCCTGACTCCTTCTTACCACAAAGGCCGCACAGCTTCCCAAAATAGGACGATGGGACAGAGACTTCGGCGTGGTGGTTCCCATCAAATCTCACCAAGAGACCGAAATCCGCTTGGACCAGAACGAAAGTGCCACTCCGGCGCACGGACACCAGCCCCGAGGCCACAGAGACAGGCAAGGTCACTCGTTTTCCATCCACCTGCGTTGCAGAGAGACAAGAGTAGGAGGCAGGGGCCAGGAGCCCCTGGACTCAGGGCCCCTGGAGGGCATGGGATCGGGGGACTCACAGTGACTTTCCGCCCCTTCAGCAGCACAATCTGGGTCCCGTGGACAGCTATGCTGACCGACTTGAGGTAGGAAACCTGGGTGTTGCCCCCGCGGTGTTCGTTGGTTGTCTGGACCTGGAAGGTGGGCTGGCCAGGCGTGGCATTGCAGACCGCAGTAAGCAGGTAGGTGCAGTTACCCATGAAATGGAAGAGGCGACCATCGTACGTTGTATAATGGGGATCTCCAGAAACTACGCACTGCGCCCGATCTTTGGGAGACAATGGAGGACGAAGTTGGGGGTAGAGGAGTAGGATCAGCAACCTCCCCCCGCCTGACTTGGGTAACGGACCCAGAACATGAAAAGCTGCTTGCTCCCTGGGATTAACCTGAGCAGTATGTTTCCTAGGTTTCCGAGCATGGACAGAGTGGTTTTTTTCTCCCCATGAGGTACCTACAGTCGACACTGATGATCTTCCCTGCTCTCCATTTTCATCCCATACCCAGAAATGTTTCCCCCTCTAAAGGGAGATGTTTGGGAGTTATCAGTACAGTGGAACCTCGAGTTACGAATTTAATCCGTTCCGTGACTCTGGTTGCAACTCGAATTGGTCACAACATGAGGCAAATTTTCCCATAAGGTTCAATGTAATTACCGTTAATCCGTTCTGGCGTCCGCAGACCACGCATCAGGGGCAGAAAAACGGCCGCGGACCACGCAGCAGGGCGGAAAAAAGGCCGTGGACCACGTGGAACGGGCGGAAAATGGCCGCGGACCACGTGGCACGGGCGGAAAAATGGCCACAGACCACGTGGAAGGGGTGGGAAATGGCCGCAGACCACGTGGCACGGGCGGAAAATGGCTGCGGATCCGGTTCGTAACTTGAGGTGGTTCGCCACACAAGGTAAATTTTTGGGGCCGGAGCTGGTCATATCTTGAAAAATTCGTAAGGAGGGGCGTTCGTAACTAGAGGTACCACTGTACTTGGGGAAGAAAAAAAGCTTTGAATAAGCCAAAGGGCATTCTCTATGACAATTACAAACAACAACATTGTGATGGAAAGAGTCTCGCTGGATTTTTCTCTTTTTCCTGGAGTAACAGTGAACCCCGTTTCTTTTCTCAGAAAACCAGAAAACATTTTGCTCTTCTTGTCTGAACCATCAGGGGCTCCTGATTTTCTTTCCCTCCCTTTCGTTGCTCTGTTCTCTACTGTTATTATTAAATGGATCTGTTATTTTTTGTAACTGGAATTTTCACTTTATCCAAAGTCCATTTCTGAAATAATGACTGAAACGGCAAAACCTACCAGTTTACAAGCTCTTCAGAGTACCAACCTGGAGGTTGTTCAGGAGTGGTCCGGTCAGGGTCTGGTCTCTTCGTTGTGGGTTTGGGGGTACCAACGTGATCAGTGGGCAGGGACTGTGTGGTGGTGGGACCTGAGGTCTGGGGACTCTTAGAGCTGGTAGAGCTGGTGAGGGTAGGGCTGGGGGTAGGTGGCGTACTCGGACTGGAGATGCCACTGGTAGATTGCAATGTAGGTGTGGGTTTGGGGGTAGAGGCTGTTCTGGTGGGGACAGGGATGGTTGGAACGGTAGCTGTGGCGGGGCTGCTGGGGTGCACACTGCTGGAGAGGTCTGGGGGGGGTCTGGATGAGGGAGCAGTAGAGCTGACAGGAGTTGTAGTGGTGCTACTATCGTGGCCAGTTATGCTGGTGGAAGAGGCAGATGTAGGCGTGGTTGGGCTCGGGTCACCTCCACCGACGGCGATGGTGGTGGTGCTGGGAGGAACTGTGGAAGAGGCAGATGTAGGCGTGGTTGGGCTCGGGTCACCTCCACCAACTGCAATGGTGGTGGTGGTGCTGCTGGGAGGAACTGTGGAAGAGGCAGATGTAGGTCTGGTTGGGCTCGGGTCACCTCCACCAACTGCAATGGTGGTGGTGGTGCTGCTGGGAGGAACTGTGGAAGAGGCAGATGTAGGCGTGGTTGGGCTCGGGTCACCTCCACCGACGGCGCTGGTGGTGGTGCTGCTGGGAGGAACTGTGGAAGAGGCAGATGTAGGCGTGGTTGGGCTCGGGTCACCTCCACCGACGGCGCTGGTGGTGGTGCTGCTGGGAGGAACTGTGGAAGAGGCAGATGTAGGCGTGGTTGGGCTCGGGTCACCTCCACCGACGGCGCTGGTGGTGGTGCTGCTGGGAGGAACTGTGGAAGAGGCAGATGTAGGCGTGGTTGGGCTCGGGTCACCTCCACCGACGGCGCTGGTGGTGGTGCTGCTGGGAGGAACTGTGGAAGAGGCAGATGTAGGCGTGGTTGGGCTCGGGTCACCTCCACCGACGGCGCTGGTGGTGGTGCTGCTGGGAGGAACTGTGGAAGAGGCAGATGTAGGCGTGGTTGGGCTCGGGTCACCTCCACCGACGGCGATGGTGGTGCTGCTGGGAGGAACTGTGGAAGAGGCAGATGTAGGTGTGGTTGGACTCAGGTCACCTCCACCGGCAGCGGTGCCAATGGTGGTGCTGCTGGGAGGAACTGTAGGGCTGGACGGATAGGTGGGGACAACAGTCCCTTGGCTGGTGGTGCTAACTGATGTAGTGGTGCTCACAGAGGTGGTGACAGGGCTGGGGGGACTGGTCTGGCTAGTGCTGGAAGGCCATGGGGGGCACGCAACAGTGTTGCTCTCGGTGGAGATAGAGGTGTCAAGGCTTGGTGTTTGGCTGCTGCTGGGGAGCCCAGGGGTGGTTTGGTTCCCTTGCCCAGGGCTGGCACTGCTATGGGGTATGATAGTAGTTGTGGCCTCTGTGGAGTTCAGTGTTGTTGGATGGGGTTTGGTGACAGTGGGTTTGGTGGTGGTGGACGCACTGGACGTTGTGGGGCTGGAAGAGGTGACCGTTGTGGGCCGAGAGACGGTAGGTTGTTCGGGTGGCCCAGTCACGACCGGTCCCCCAGTGGTTGATGAAGCTGTTGAGGAGGCACTCGGAGGCACAGGAGTTGCTGGGGGCGCTGGGAGGAAGAACAAAGCCCAGAGTTAGGGGCACCAAGAACACCAGTCAGAGTCCCTAGTCCCCACAGGGGCTCCGAGAGGGACCGATATGGCGGAATCTTTTCTTTCTCTTGTTTCTTTCTGCTGTGGACTCCCTGCATGCCCTTTTTGTGGAAGCCTGCCTTATACGATTTAATCCAAAGCAGTAACCTCCCTCTGCCCAAGAACCCAGGGTGGCCTGTCAAACCTTTGCCCTTGTGTGCCCCTCTGCCCACCCTGAGAGAAGACTGACAACACCATTCACAGCCGCTGCAGCCTGTATCGTCATGCTGTCAGTACAGGTGTGCAAACCCCGCTTGGAGTCTCCCGATCAACCTCACCTGCACATCGGCCCCTGCGCACTGAAATGTTGTCCAACGCCACGTCCAAGTAGGGATTGCTTCTTCTGACAACTTCGAAAGTGACCTGGGTCCAAGGAAAATGGTGAGTCATGGTTTATCTTACCCAAAGACCAGGACTGCAGCAGAAATGCAGCCATCTGCTCCCCGCATCCTAAGGCCAGCATCCCAAAACTTGAGGATTCCTGGCCACCAGTGACTGAATCAGCACGGAATCCATCCGCCTCCTCTTCCACTCACCGTGCTTGGCTGCGCCCTGCCATACGGCACCGTCACCGATCCAAAGAGCCAGCTGGAACTCTGAGTCCCCGTACGGCTCCAGAGAAGAACAGCCGTTCCTGAAGGGCCCTCCAGCAGGACCCGGAGATCGGTCTCGACTACTACCGGGCTGTACATGTGGTAGTAGAATTCAATGCAGGCCTCCTGGTTCACGCAGAACGGCTGGCTGGAGAGGCGCACGGACTGGCCCGGCTTCATGAAGCCAGCTTCCACGAAGATGTAGTACCCCTCTAGGAAAAGACGAGGGAGGCCAGTCGGGACACCCACAGCCATTGTGTCGAAACAGACGGGAAAAGGGCACCAGAGGGGGCGGGTCAGGCAGAACAAGTTTGTGTTTGGTGCACTGCTGTAAATGGGACCCGAAACTGGCTCCTGGAGGGACCCCAGATGAGACAGGCCAGAGAAGGATTAATCCAGCAATCCCTCAAAACTTCTATCCGAGCACCTCCCCCAATTACAAGTGGGTGGAGGTGATGAAACCCCCCCTCTTGGGAGCCCCAGTGCATCCCCCTGTCTTACCACCGTGGGGATAATCGCCAGGGGGGCCGGTCTCTTCGGTGGGGGTGCTTTCGTTTGTCCGTATCCAGGGGACATTGTTATCCGCAGGCTCACTCCAGCCACAGAAAGGGTCTGTGTTGTCGTTGAAGTCGCAGGCGGCAAAAGTCTCTGTGGGGCAGGGAAGGTGGCAGGCAGGGTCAGCTGGAGCGGGACAGCCTTGGCTGCCCTTCAGCCCCAGCCCCCACACACCGCTTGCCCACAGGGCTAGGGTTAGCCTACCTTCACAGGGAGAAATCGCCACGCTGTCCACTGCCAGGCCCGTTTTCCTTGCAAGGGTGCCTTCGAAGACAAACTAGAAGTGGAAAGCTATGGGTGACCACCGGTTGCCAAGGAACCCCAGGAGCTGCAGCTCCACAGGCATGGCAGGCAACAGTTGTTCTGCTTCCCCTCTCTGAAATCGGACCTTCCGTGTGGACATTGCCACACCGGAGGTGGTGTTCCTCGACTGACTGTCTCCCCAACCCGGGGCCTCCAACTCCAGCTTAGCTTGGTGACCACTGCTCCACCCGAGCCGCCACCTTCTGCCAGGTGTGCGAGACCCGAGCCACTAGAGCAGGGTTTCTCAACCTCAGCAACTTTAAGAATTGGGGAATTCTGGGAGTTGAAGTCCACGTATCCTAAAGTTGCTGAGGTTGAGAAACCCTGCTCTAGAGTAAGCAGCTGTGTTCTTTGCAGGCACTCTGCAAACTTCTCAAGACGGGCTGGACTAAACGTGAGCTGAGGTCACACCGTGCTAAGTAGGCGCCTTTGATCGCCTACAAGCAGAAGTGGGCCCTCTCGAAAAGCGCGACGTTCGAGGCCGAAGGTCCACCACATGCATGTACGCGACACAGACGAGTCCTCTTCTCTGCCCCTACTCCTCCACGTGGCCAAAGCGACCAGCTTGTTCAGCCCCACCCCTGGCCTCGTGCCCCCCTCCGCAACCTTACCTGGATGTTCTCCCTCCCGGTATAGTTAGCTGTTTCCTGCCTCCAGTGAGGACCATGCTCCCCTCTGAGAGTCAGCAACGGGACCCCCAGTTCTCCCCCTATGTACAGGGAAACACAGAGAGCAAAAGGAGGTTCACTCGGGTTCATCTGCCCAGAGAGTCTGCGGGGAGGCGTGCCCCCTTCCAAAGGCGCGGGAACTTGCCTGGGGCAGCTGCGTAGACCTTCAGGGCCGTTCCGTCGGAGATGCCATGGAGAGTGTAGTAGAAGCTAAGGGAGAGGCATCTGCCCGGCGCACTGAAAGTGGGGCTCTTCAGAAAGGCGGTTCCACCACTCCCTCCGTCCCCGTTGTAATAATTGAGCAACATGTAGGAGCCGACTACAACGACAGTTGAAAGGATTCGGATTTATTTATTCGTTTGCTTATTATTAAATTTATATGCCACCCATCTCCCCCAGAGATCGGCTTTGGGACCAAGAGCTTGGGGTGGGGGGGGACAGCAGGTTTGAAAAGGCGGCTGTAGAGACCACGGGATGCAGTGAAAAGCTCTTTTTCTTTTGCGTTCCAAGTACGAGAGATCGTGGGGAGGCTCCCTGTGCCCGTAGCAGGAGCGATGGTGCCCGTAACAAGCTGAGAGAGGCGCAGAGCCCCGACTTCACGATCTCATCAACGGCAGCTTGGTTCGGGCTGCCAAGATTCAAGACGTCCAGAGAAGTTCCACCTTGGTGACCTCACGAATCAGGGCCGGTTCCCAGATTCTGTGCTTTACCCCCTTAGTCCTTGCATTAAAGCCCCTCGTTTGACCTCTGGGTGGTTCCTGTTTCCTTGATGGTGCTATGTGCTGAGGGGTGAGACACCCCTAATGCGCAATCTCCAACATGTCAGAAAAGCCCTGCTGGATCCAATTAGGGGTCCAGAGTCCATTATCCGGGCCCTGATGCAAAAGAGGGGCCCGGGCAGGCCAGGCGGATGGTGGCTAGTCGGGGTGCAAAATTTGCTTGGAGCTTGCCACTGGTACAGCAGGAGGCCCACGTCTCATGGCTAACAGTCCAGACCAAAGTACCTCCAAGCACGTTGGGCCCTCAAACTGGGGACTACATATTTTATTTATTATTAAACTTTTTATTTATTGTTCAACTTAGACTATCAGCAGAATCCCTCCTCCCTCCAGGTTTTCTCCCAAATTTTCTTCTTCGGCTACCAAACTGAAAAGTGGGGTGGGTGGTGGTCAGCAGTGGCTAGTTTCAGGAACCGAAGCTTGATTGATGGGAAATGCCCCAGAATTACACCCCCAGCACATCCCAGAGAAGCATCTAGCCCAGGGGGAAACCGCCTTAAGCAATGGCTTTTCTAACAGGGGGTGCATTTCTGCCCAGGGACTGGCCGGTACAGACTCACATCCAGGCTTGGAGAAGTCATCCGCCGGCCCCACGCCAGCCTCGTCCGTAGGACCACTCCACTGCTCCCAAATCATATCCCCCTCCTGTTGGTTGTTCCATCCACACAGGTCCTCCGGAACATCGAAGTCGCATTTGGTCACGCAGGCTGTAGGAGAGAGGGAGGGGCAAAAAGGGTGAGCTCCCGCTTGTCCAGCATGACCCTTCTCCCCCAGAGCAGTGTTTCTCAACCTTGGCGGCTTTAAGGTGGGTGGACTTCAACTCCCAGAATTCCCCAGCCAGCCTGG